CTGAATATTCTCAGGATCATTGCCTTGCTCATCTTTTACATATAACTGTATGGCTTGACATTGTCATGTTTCCTAGCTCATCTCCTTTCCTTCTCCATTCAACATTTTAGATTTATTTATTTATTTTGTCTTGTTCTGTAGTTCAAGCTGGCCTTGAATTCACTATGTAGCCGAAGCCAGCATCAAAGTCTTTGAGATCCTCCTGCCTCAGCCTCCTGAGTGCTGGGATTATAGGTTTATGCGGCTTTGTCTAGCTGTTACTGATTTTTTTTTCTTTTACTATGCCTCTGTTACTTAAAATGTTTACTTGGGGATTAGAGATTATCTTTTTTAAAATTTTTATTTGATACAGGGTCTTGCTGTGCAGTTCAGACTCATAATGATACTCCTGACTCAGCCTCCCCAGCACTGGGATTACAGGCATGCCCCATCACACCTGGTTCTGGGCCAACACAGCATGCGGTATTGGGGATGGAACTCATGACCTTTTGCTTGCCAGGCAGGTGCTTATGCTGCTGAACTATCTCTCCAACCCAATTAGAGATTATTTTTTAAAAAACTTTTTATTAGTACATGGTTGCAGTATATAATGATTATGCTCACCCTGGAAGGAACATCTTTGATTCTTTTATTGTGTCGTCCTCCCCAACACATATTCTTTCCTTCATCAAATTTGGTAGCTTCTACTTGAAGCCATCTATTTCTATCTCCACTGCCACGATCTCCTGTAGACCCTCATTAGCCCTCTTTTGGGCTATTTCAGTAGTTTCCTAACCAGTCCTCCCAGCTTCTAGTCTTTCCCCTTCCAATCCCTTTCCCATCTACAACCCACAATATTCCCTGGAAAATAGGATCAAGGAGCTGGGGAGATGGCTCAGGAGTATAAGTGCTTTCCTGGCAAATGCAAGGGCCAGAGTTTAATTCCTAGTTCCGGAGGGGAGGGGGAAAGAAAAAGAAAGAAAGAAAGAAAGAAAGAAAGAAAGAAAGAAAGAAAGAAAGAAAGAAAATAGGATCGAGTCAATCCCCTGCTTGAAATCATTCAGTGTTTTCTGATCAAACTCACAATGACATTCTAACCCCTGACTGTAGCTTAAAAATCCTTTTGTGACCTGGTCCTCAATCACCTTTCTGATGTCATCTCTTACTATTTTCCCCATCCAATCACATTGGTTTCTTCTTTTTTATACTCCAAATACCCCAATGCCTATCTATTTTAAACTCCTTGCTCTTGAGATTCCCTCTGTCCAGAATGCTTTCCCAAGTCCCTAGCTTGGCTCCCTATTCCATTTTCCAGTACTCATCTCAAATGCTATAAAAAGTAGCATTTGAGGGGCTGGGGAGATGGCTCAGTGGAATAAGCACTTCCCTGGCAAGCGCAAGGGCCTGAGTTCAATCCCTGATTCTGTAAAAAAAAAAAAAAAAAGCATTTGAGAAAATGAAAAATTCATTTTTCTCTTCCTCAATGGTACTTATTTTAATAACTGAGATTATTATTATTGTTTTGTTTTTTTTGAGACAGGGTCTTGGTATGTAGTGCAGCTTGGCCTTACACTTACTATGCAGTTCAGGCTGGCCTTAAACTCACAGCAATCCTCCTGCATTAGCCTCCCAAGTGTTGGAATTACAGGCATGCACTACCATACCCATCTGTATGCTTATTTATTACTTGTGTTTTTCCAGTGTAATGTGTGATCCATGAGGTCAAAGTGTTTTTCTCTTGTTGTTGCTATATTGCAAAGTCCTAGAACAGTATCTAGCAGATGTTAATGAATATTTGTTGAATAAACAAAAAAAATTGAGTATTGGTAAGCAGACCTGAGAGAAAATAGATCACTTCTTTTTCTCTCTCTCTTTTTTTTTTCTTTCTTCCTTTCCTTTCCTTTTTTAAAAAAATGTATTTGGTACAGGGTCTCACTACATAGCATGGATTCGTAGTGATCCTCCTGTTTTCAGTCTCCCAAATGCTGGGATTACAGGTGTGTGCTACCATGCCCAGTCTCATTGTCCAGTCTTATGCTGGCCAGTTCAGTGTGCCTGGGAGACAGGGTCTCCCTATGCAGCTTAGGCTGGGCTTGAACTTACCATGTAGTCCAGGCTGGCCTTGAACTCATGGTGATCTTCCTGCCTCAGATTCAAAACCTGAGATTACAGGTGAGTGTTATCATGCCCAACTCAACTTCATAAATATGTTTTGGAAAGGTGTTGAAGGACAGTAAGCTCTTCAGAGCTTTCAGTCAGTCTTTTTCTATTATGTTTGAAGCTCTAGAAAGGGAAACAAAATAACTTATTTTGAAGATTCAAATGAAATAGTATTGAAACACATTTCAGTGATGTCCAGTCCATAAGTGTGCATCATGTACTCACAACTTTATGCTTAGGATGGCATTTTCCCCTCATCCCCATGGGGGATGTTTCACTCATATGATGTAAAGAATGAAGGTAGAGCTAGCTGGGGATATAACTCAGTGGTAGAGTGCTCGTGTAGCATACCCAAGGCCCAAGGTTTGATCCTCAGTATCACACATACACATATACAAAGGTAAAAGCTGGTCTGGTACCCATAAATCTCATACAGCTCTGATAGACATAAATATGAAGGCTGGCCAGATAACTCAGCAGACTAAAGTGTACCTTAGGCAGAGCACAGTGACTGGGATTGGATTTCCAGTGTGCTGTGTGGGTCCCACCTCTGGGGCGCGCTGAGATGGCCATTGAGACAGGGTATGGTGGTGCAGGCCTATAATCTCAGTACTTGGGAGGCTGAAAACAAGAGGATCAATCATTATGAGTCTAATCTGTGTAGTGAGACCCTCTAAACCCTGTACTAAACACATTTTTTAAAAAAAGATTGAGTGATAGACATAAATACGAAGCCAGCTGCAGAGATGTTTTCACATTCCAGGGCAGATTGGGCACTGAAGATAGGGTTGTGGTTTAGACCTAGATGTCTCCCATGGCCCCCTGCTTTTAGAGCTGGGGGTTTGGAAGATGATTGGATTACGGGGGCTTTGTATATAGTACCTTACTATACAAAGTTAGGAGGTGGGGCCTAGTTAGAAGAGGCAGGTCAGTGGGGATGTGACCTAGTCTGGTATGCCAACTGGAGACTGAAAAGCGAGCAAATATAAGCCTCTCATTTAAATTGCAGGTGTTGGGTATTTTGTCCCAGTGACAAGGATAGATAGGTTCGTAGAAACAAAGAAAAAATAGCTTATGAGTCTTACATGAGAAAAACAACTGTCACATGAGAGACACAGATGAGTCAGTGTGATGCTGAGTGGTGAAGGCCTATCTGAGGATTGTTACCAACAGCATAAAAGCAGAATTGGAGGGGAAGATGGTGTGCTATTGATTCTCCTGCAGAAGCTTGTCATACTGGTATTCCTGATACGATCCTGGCTGTTTTTATTATCAGAAGAGCCTGGGACTTCAGTGTTACTGAGGATGGCTTTGGTTTTCTTTCCCTGGGGGTGGGGTGGAGATGGTGGTGGTGGATTCTGATTTTTACCTTGAACCTTGTTTCCTGCCTCCAGCGCAGCTCCCTCAACTTGCTGGCTAGCACAGACCTTTCATCCTGCTGGCACAGACTTTCTGGCTTCCACCACTGACCTCTGGGCTTTGCCAGTGCAGATCTTTAAAACAGATGTTCATGAGACATTGTCCTAAGTTCTAGGCCTCCAGAACTCATGCAGAAAATTGCCATGGGCTCTAGGCCTTCAGCTGGATTCATGTAGGGTATTGTGGGATCCAGGCCCTCAGTCGGATTCTTTGGATCTCTAGTGTGTGGACATATCTCTCATACTCTCTTGCGTTTGACTCTTTGGGTGAATATTATAAAATAATCCTATAAATTATGTGTCCTGCATTAAATGCTTTCCCTTGGGAACCCTGACCAGTACAGCTACACACCAAATTTGCTCTTAGGGATGTGACTGTAAGACGTGGGGATACAAGCTAGACTTGATTGGTTACAATAGCAAGGCATATTGAAATGAAATCCCTAATATTTCAAGGGTAACCTATCCAGATGAAGAAGTAAAAATGTCCTGGTCGGCCTGACACACGCGCAGGCGCAGAAGGAACGCCGACAGCTTTCCTCCAGGCACCTCCCCCCCTTTCCGGCTTTCTTCCAACGCGCAGGCGCATAGAGTGCAGCAACATGGCGGCCTCCGTGGATCTGGAGTTGAAGAAGGTAAAAGGGGGTCTTGACTAAGCGTAAGCATCGGTTTGGCGGATGAAGGGCCCTTGAACCAGATTATCGAGGGAAGCTCGAGACTCGCGGAAGGAAAAGAGGCAGCGGGGGAGTGAGGCACTGCTTTCGCAGAGTCGTGAAGCGGGCTCGGATCTCCTTACGCTGTGGAAGGGGGCGAGCGGCTCTTTTGGGGTAGGAGCTGGTTAGGTAGGGCTGGGGCAGACGCAGCCTGTCTCCATGTTTTGAACTCCAGAGCCATTTCGTTGAATTTGAAGCTTTCAACGAGCGTTTAGGAAGAACTGGAGAGAGCGTTTCAAATTGAAACCCTCTTGGGCCACCTGCCCGCATGGAGGCGTCAGTAATGGGGTCCCTTCATTGCTTTGAAATAGTTTACGTTCAGTCTTTGTTTCTAGGCCATTATATGCCCCTGTAACATACCCAGAAGGTCCTGGTGTAGGCACTTTAGAAAGTCAAAAGTTGTTATAGTAATGTTTATTTCCAGGTTTAAGCCGGATTCTCGTTCCTTTTTGAAGGACTTACATATTAAAAAAAAAAAAAAAAATCTCTTAAGAGTTGGTATCAGAAGGAATTGTATTTCTCTTTGTCCAAACAATTGCTTATAAATGTGTTGTTACTCCGAAACATTTTTTAAACTGAAGAGTGATCAGGATGCTTAACCCCGCTACTGACTCAAAACCGTTTGCTTTGTAGGATAGGGAGGATAGGAAAGAACCTTAGAAATTAACCAAGTTTACACCTACATTTCTAGAAAAGGAAATACCTTTAGAAAGCTGTAAGAATTGAGATTAGAGTCCAGTAGTTTTGATTATTAGTTTAGCTTCTTAAGGTAAGCAACTTCTTAGGTGACTGCCTCTGGTTAACTTTTGCGTAACAAATGGGACAGTTGGAATAGCTGTAGCTCCTAGTGAATGAATCTGTAATTGCTGAGGATATTAGGTATTTGTGCCTTGTGGTGTGGTGTTTTTGTTTATTTTCTTTTGCTGTTCTTGTCTTGGAACTTGTAAATTTAGCCTTTACCTGGTGTTCTTTTGTGCTGTAACATTTCTGCATGTGCTTGTTTATGTAGCTGTGTGCAAAGCAATCATAATACCTGGTATTTCACATTTCAGAAAAAAAATTGTGTATTCTGAAAATTCACCCTTTTTTTCTGTTGAAAGTTGAAATTAAGTCATTAGTAAAATAGCTAATGGGGATACAATTATGGATGGCCTTACCTATCATCAGAATTTGTCGCTAAGGACTATGGACAATGAATGCAAACAGAAAATGATTACAGACCTATTGAACAGTTCGACACGGACTGAATTAAAAAAAAAAACTTGTATGAAGGTTTTATCATCTAATTTTTTGTTTTGTTTTGTTTTGTCTTTTTGGGGCAAGGCCTCAATATGCAGTTTAGGCCTTGAAGTCACTTTGTAGTGACCTCAAACTCACAGCAGTCCTTCTTCAACTTCCTGAGTGCTGGGATTAAAGGGTGTGCCACCTTGCCTGGCTTTGTCTAATGTTTTTACAAAGGCTTTTTGGGGGCTGAAGACTAATAGGAAATTTCAGGCTCCTCATCTTCCCCAAAATCAATCTCTTGAAGCCTAACTATTCTGATAACAAAGTTAGAATAAAAGTTTAGTAGTAGCCTTTGCTGGGCATTTCAGTCACCAAGTGTTTTTTTTTATTTTTTTATTTTTTTAGTCACCAAGTGTTAGTAAGGCATAAATTTGACAACATAAGAAAGTCATTCCAAGCACTTCAATAAGAGTAGCCAAGAACTGTGCTTATCTGTGAGTTAAAAAGTGGACACAGTGGTCAAATTAGGCCTGGTATGTGCAGATGAAAGTCATAATGCAATTCTATCACTGCTTAGCATTCTCTTGTTTTAGAATCCTCTTAAAAATATTTGTATTCTGAGTTTTACTATGGATAAAAAGATTCTTGAACTAAGAAAGGGTCAGAAAAAATGGTTTTAAGTACCTGCCTTTCTACCTCGTAATCAACCTTTTGTGAGCCACTTTTTATCTCTCAGTTCTTTGATTTGTAACTTGTGGATGATAAAACTGCCATCAAGATTATGTACAGCAGTAAATGAGATGTATCATTATATCTTTGGCATTTTCATTAATATTCCTATGTAATTATTTTGAAATCTGGGAAAGTGCTTTGAAATCTGTAATACATATAGTGTAGTGTTATTTTTGTGGGCCTTTTTTTGAATCTCTGGGTTTCATCTGTTTTATCAGTTATTTTAATTACTCTGGTTACTTGATGCTGGTTATTAAATATGCATTTGTTTTGCCTTTTTCAAATTGATCACATCTTCTGAGAACAGGGTAAACCAAGTATTTAGTATAGCTAATTGTATCAAATCATTTGTTGGCTTTGGTAAATTTCATAGCTTTGTCTCTGGTTAGCTTTTTCTGCTTTCATAAATTTGTGTTTGACCTAAATGCTTTCTTTGAGATGTTTTGCCTACTAAATCAAGGATTTGTTTTTATTAGGCCTTCACTGAGCTTCAAGCCAAAGTTATTGACACTCAACAGAAGGTGAAGCTTGCAGACATTCAGATTGAACAACTGAACAGAACGAAAAAGCATGCACATCTTACAGATACAGAGATTATGACTTTGGTAGATGAGACTAACATGTATGAAGGTATAGGAAGAATGTAAGTAAAATATATCCTTAATGGTTATATAAATAAATAAATATGTCCATATTAGTTTAGTGGTATTATATTGGCGGTATGTTCATCTGCATCAAACTGCAGAATTTATTCATTTTAAAATTTGGGTTTTTTAAAATTTCGTATTTATTTTAGTACTGAGGATCTCACTCAGAACCTTGTGCTTGCCAGGCAGGTGCGTTCATGGCTGAACTATTTCCCCGGCCCCTTAAAACTTGGTTGAAGGTATCATAGGAATAATTTTCACAATTCTCTAGTCAGATACCTATTTCTTTTAAAAAGTAAAAAACTTGGGGCCAGGGAGATGGCTCAGTGGAATAAGCGCTTCCTTGGCAAGCACAAAGGCCTGAGTTCAATCTCCGGTTCTGCCAAAAAAAAAAAAAAGTAAAAAACTTAGCCTTGTGGTACAGGTTTATAATCCTAACACTCTAGGAGGTTGAGACAGAAAGGTTCTAAGTTTGAGCACAGCCTGGGCAATTTAGCAGCTTGGTAAGATCTTGTCTCAAAATTAAGGGAAAAAAAAAAAAGAAGAAAGAAAAAAGGAGTAGGAATGTAGCTAAGTGCAGAAGGCCCCTGGATTCAATCCCCAGTGCCATTTGAAAAAAAGAAACAATATCTAAATCTTGGATAGATATTAAGTGCTTAAATTTATCCTTTGATGTATATTTACTAAACAATTCCTTGTTCTCTATGATTAGGTAATTACTGTAACTTCAGTGATAAAAGTGTTTGTTATAGGAATAGTCCATAACATAATTTATCATTTATAGTAATAACAATTTATAGTAATTTATTTTTAAATAATTTATATTTAAATGGCAATTGTATTTAATATTTATTTAGATTTATTTTATCATTATTTTTGTGTGTGGCATCAGGGATCGAACTCAGGACCTTGCGCTTGCCAGGCAGGTGCTGTGTCACTGAGCTATATCCCCAACGCCTTGACAGTAATTTTAATCTTTTTTTCTCTACCTAATTTATTAGGAGTAGTACAAATCATAAATCTTTTATTAGAGACTGCTGTAGTGGTACATGCCTGCCATCCTAGTTACTTGGGAGAGTGAAGTTGGAGATCGTAATTCCAGGCTAATTTTCACTTGGAAAACCTGAAAACTTGTCTCAAAAAAAAGGTGTTTGCCTAGCATGTGTGTGGTGCCCTTGGTTTAATAGCCAACACCACATACACCAAAAAGAAAGAAAGAAAGAAAAAGTCTTTTAGCTGTCTTATCACAGTTGTGAAATAAAAATACACTATTTAAATACAATACACTCATTTAATTCTGTGTCATGGTGCATGTCTGTAATCCCAGCATGGTATATGTAGCCAGCCTGGACTATGTACTGAGAGCCTGTCTCAAAAACAAACCAAACAAAATAAGTACACTCGTTCTAATTGCTATACATTGCTCAACTAGTAAAATATACATGTGAGAATCTAGTAAACAACTTACCTTTCATTTGTCTCAGTTATTATAGTTAGCCACTCATATTTTACTTTTTTCTTAAAAAACATGTCCTTTGTCAGATAAACTAGATCTGCATCATATTGTCTAAGCAGAAAATGAGAAAAGCCCTTAAATATTGGTCACATTCCATTGCAGTGAGCTAAAAGGACAAGACTGATTTTTTTTTTAAATTTTTTTTTTATTGTGGGAGGTAGGGGAGGAGGGTTTTTCTAAAATTTGGTCTTTGAATATTGTTTAGTAAGTGAACCTTTTGAGTTTGAAGGACTTTTTCATTGGAATGGAATTTGACCCCACTCTAGGGATGACTTATTTTGTGATTGATTTGAAGGAAGCATGACGTAAAATTTAGTAATGACTTTAGAATGATATCATGAGAATTAGCCCCTGCTTGAGACTGACTAATCATTTTCTTTCTGGATAAGAGCTAGATTATGGTAAACTGTTTATCTAATTTGCTTTCTCAGAATTAACTATGCCATATGTAAATTATAGCTTTTAGTTTGTATTTTTCATCTTGGCTTAAAGGAAGGAGAATCACAATTTGAGTTTGTTAATGGGATAAGAATAAGGTAGAACCTTTGATTGTATGTTTCTGTAGTATGAAGTGCATTATTGACCCTAGCTGCAGGTTAGTAGTAGCCTTAATACGGATATCCTTAGGTCTTAAAACAGTAATGTAGCATGCCTGTTAACATGTGCTTAAATTTCACATCATTACACTAGTTTTTGTTTCTAACAGCTAAAAAAATCATTTTTTCAAAATACTCTTTCACTCTATTTGGCCTTTTGAACTACAGTGAAGTTTCTATTTTTAATTAGAATAATTTTATTTGTTAAACATTCTGCAGAAATGATGGGAAAGCCACTTTTTTTTTTTTTGCATACTGTTCAAAGTAATATAGCTAGGTTGTATTCCATGCAAAGAATTTTAGAGCTTAAAGGGTTTGATATGAATTAGTAATGGTAGAATTGTATTATTTTCTATATTTATTTCATATAAATTATGTTTCTTGAGATGTTAGTTTCAAATGTTTGGGTACATTTTGGTTTCAAATTTGACTTCTGTGTTTTACTGGAAGTTAAGTTTGATCCTTAATCATAGGGGCATGTAAGGTGAATGGTGTTTGTTGTTTGCCTGAGTATTAATGCCCTGCGAGGAAGAAAAGACTTGCTGAGTATTAGTCTGGTCATGAGGATGTTCTCTTTCTTGATGCTAAACCTGAAATATCTATTTCTGAATTTATGATCTTGAGTAATCGTGGGTATCATTGTGATTCACTTCTTTAATTCTAGCCTTTATCTTAAATTTTCTCTTAAAGTACTATTTGAGAATTCTGTTTGCATTATTAATTTTTCCCAAATTTGTGTTTTGAAACTACAGGTTATACAATCCAAAACTTTTTATTTTAGACCTGCAGTATTTTTCCATTGCAGAAGCCCAGGCCCATTATTTTTTGCCGACTTACATTTTTTCATCCTGCATTCATTCTGTCTATCCACATTCATTTTTCACATATCTGCTAGAATTGATCATATCAATATTTTTATAAAATTCTTTGTCCATTCTCTGTTGTATAAAGGATAAAACTTAAATTTGTTAGCTTACCATTCATGGGCATTAATGACTCTTAATTTACTTACCCACCTTCTTGTTCTATCGCTTTCTGTTTCTAGGCTGAGGATCACACATATATTTCATCTTATGAACCTGTTTCCTTATATGGATTGTGTGTTACCAGTTGAGAAGGTTTTGAGGTTTTATGTGGGCTTTAAATATGCTCTAGTTTGAGTAGTGATGTCTATAATGGGGTAAGGGTAGAAAAATAATTGCACATATGCCAAAAATTGTTATTCCAACCTTGCCACATGTGTTCGTTCATACCTGCAATGTTTTTGTGCTTTTTTTTTTTTTGCTTTTGTTCATTCTATCTTAGGATCACAATGTCCCTCTTTTTCTTGTGAAATTCTCGTTCTTCAAAATGTTGCTCAAAGCTTATAGTGATTCTGAAGATTTTCCCAGCCTCTAGGCCTGTGTTAGTGAACCTTTATTTATTTATTTATTTATTTATTTATTTATTTTTAGTGAACCTTTTAGCAGTTGGTTTTTTTTCTTTTTGCGGAACCCGAGATTGAACTCAGGCCCTTGCACTTGCCAGGCAAGTGCTTATTTCACTGAGCCATCTCCCCAGCCTTTTTTTAGTGAACCTTTTAAAGCTTTCAGTGATACAAACAGCCCAATGTGACATGGATACACTAGGTTTACCATTACTGCTCTAGGCAGACTTATTCTCTCTTTTCTTGGTGATGGGAAGGCTATTGTTCCTAAAGCTAGTGGAGCTTATTGACTGGGTTGTGTGATCTCCCCAACCAGATCATCAACTCTGAGACCATGTATACACATTATCCTTGTTTCTTCATTTCTTGGTATGATGTCTGGCACAGAACAGATGTTCAATAAATGTGTGTTGATTTGAATTGAATCTGATTCCTTCTCTTCCTTACGTACAATGTTTTCATTTTTCTGGTTCTTTAGAAAAAGTTATATTTAGAGAGTGTCAGAGACTTAAGAATTAGAGTTTACTAATCTGTTAATACATGATATTTAAGGTGAAATTATAAAAGTCATGTTTGTTTGTTTGTTTGATTCAGTTTTTTGAGTCCTTGAGTTCAGGCTACCCTCTTAACGCTTATCAGTCTTTCTGCCTCAGCCTCCTGGGTGCTGAGATTACAGGTATGTACCATCATGCCTGGCTGAAGTCACTTTTTTTTCTTAATTTTTTTATTCATTTGAATGAGAAAAAAATAGCAATGAAGCAGTTTCAAAACAGGTTAGTAGGACAGCTACAATAATTAATACATTGCATATTGTTGTCTTCATAGACTTCTTTTCTTTTTTTTTTTTTTTTTGGTACCACTGATTGAACTCATGGCCTTAAACTTGCCAGGCAGGTGCTTATGCCACTGAGCTACTTCCTGGTCCTAAATTCCCATATTTTGACCAAGAACAAAGGAGTTGTTTCTGACCAGAATTGTCCTTTGATCTGAGAGGATTAATCTAACAGGATTGTGACCGGGGAGATAGCTCAGTAGCATAAGCTCAAGGGCCTGAGTTCAATCCCTGGTTCCACTAAAAAAAAATCTGACAGGATTAATTCTTTACTCAATCTGTTGAGAAGGTTGGCTGATTCTAAATGCTAGCCAGTTGTAGAGATAATCAGAACCAACAACATCGAAAATCTTTTAAAGTTCTGCTGAAGGTAGTGTAATGTTTGGAAAACAAATGCTAATCTATGTAGAATAATTACAAGTAATTGTATATAATTTCCTTTCCTTGACTTCACATAGAATGGAAGTCACGTTTTTTCCCTGAGAGTATGTGTTTAGTTTAACAAATCACTGAAGAGCTACATACTCTCCAGCTCCTAAGTAGAAGAAATATAGCAGTATTAGATTGTTTTTATACATTACTATTTTTGATTTAAAATAAGGAAAGTCAAGCTATAGGATCAGAGA